GGGGGGGTGGTACCATGTGAACCGGGTGGCACTATGCGGGGTGGGAGGGTATTATGTGTGCTGCATCGGCCTGTGGAAGCTGTGATGGTATTAACAAAAAAATGAAAAAGAACGTACTCTGTACTTGTCTCTGCGAGGCGCAGTGGGTGTTGCTACGTGGGGTCAGCGGTAAATTATGGGCTGGGTGGTGCTATGTGGGGTTGGTGGTTAAGTATTACATAGTACATGCGATACACGTTCCGGGTTGTGATATGCGGCAGATGAAGTGGGTGGTTCTCTGTGGGGTTGGTAGTAACTACTAGTAAGTACTAGATGCAGTATATGGTCCAGGTGGTGATATCCAGATGAAGCCGTGCTCTGCCTGTGCCCTCTGCACCCCATGTACTTGTACTCACCTCTTTCAGTCCGGAAAAGGAAATCGTGCGCTGTGTTTTGAATCACACCTTTCTGACGGGAAAACCAAACTGTGCACCCTGCTTTGCATTTGAATCGTTGGGCGCACGAAATGGTGTGCCCCGCTCTGAATTCACATCTTTCTGATGGAAAACCGAAATTGTGCAAGCTGCTTTGTATTTGAATCGTTGGGCCTTAAGTTTGCGAAATGTCTTGTGCGGCCTGTTTCTTGCTTTATGATGCGTACCAACATATTGGCACAGTCCCCTGAGTGTGAAGGATGAGGATGATGATCCCTACGATCCCCACCTCGTGCTGAGCTTCCTCTTCATTTTGATCGACACCTACCTAATTTTTATCTTCGTTTGGATTTTGTGGTCGCCTGCACTTCCTCTTGATTTTGATCGACACCTACCTAATTTTTATCTTCGTTTGGATTTTGTGGTCGCCCGCTTCTCAGTGCAGGGACATGAAAAAGACAGAGACGACCGGCCAGTCTTTCTTCTGGTGGAGCACTTGATTGAAGTTGATTTCAGTTCACGTCACTAAAAATGCCTGCTTCGCTGGGTTGCACCCCTGAAAAAGAAGAAGAGTCTTCGACGGCCCTGGTGACGTGCAATTCTCTCGCGCCGAAGCTATGTAGCCTTCTACGTGCAAATGATTGAGTCAACAAACAGTCACCAGTATTCGATCTATTTATAGTACACATACACAGTGACTTTGTTTCTGCACTCTTCATATTTACAATAATTATAGAAAGAGTTATCTTTGATAGCGCAGATAGGTCGAGACTCAGTTCCATCCCGACGATTGGTTCCGATCGATGGTGTAAGTGGAGTTGGCTCCTTTGAAAAACCAGATCTTTCTTTTTCTGTTTCAGACTTTCAGTTTCTTTTCGCCGTTTTCGCCGTCCCACTGGACTTTCTGTGTGAGTTCAATCAATAGCAGTTCAATCGGTAGTCACCAGACTCACCAAAGGATTGACAATTTTTTAGCACTCCCCAACAGTCAGCATGGAGCAGTTTGCGCTTGGAATGGCGAACGCCTTAGCGCAGCGCCCGATGAAGTTGCTGTTTGACAAAGCGGTCAAATATTATGAAAATTGCCGAGATTTTGCCGAGGAGTGGAAATACATGAGAGACGAACTGGCGGTCCTCGAGAGGCTCACAAAGGATCTATGCGCGGCAGATAGGGCATCTATCTTTCCACAACTGCCACCCGGTCCGCAGTCGGCGCTCATCACCAGGGATCTCCAAAGAGCAAGGGCGGAGATAGAAAACCTCAAGGAGTTGTCGCAGAGTGCAATGGTCGCCTTGGACAAAGCTTACCTGAAATGCAACCGCGGAAATTTTGCGGCGATGAACAGGGCGGGACAGCTGAAGGCAATTCGGAAAACCCAGCAACAAGTTCGCGCGTTTGTTTATTGTGCAGCTCCGTTGATGACAACACTGCTGCAAATTGCCTATTCGAAGGCCCTCTTGGAAGCGAACGCAGAATCGGAAAGGGCCATTATTGCTGCCATTGCGAGCCTCAAAGGGAGCTTAGAAGAAAGACCAGAACTGTTCCCCGAATTCAGATATCGTGGGCTGGCAACCATGGACCCAAGGGATTGGATAAGGTTGCAGTGCCCAAGGATGCGGCGATCATTCTCGCTTGAGCCATCGGTAAGCGAACTTCGAACCCTCATCAATGGGATCAAATTGAATTTCAGAGAAGCAGACAATTTGAAAATGAATGCTTTGTCATGCGACAGTGGCCCAACCTCTCTTTTTTTTTTTTTTTTTTTTTTTTTTTTTTAACACCCCCCCCCTGCAGTGCTAGCGGCGCTGATGCAGGCAGACACCGCTAGCACCCAGGGGGAGGCTCCATCTATTGGTGGGGACAACCTTTCTTACGATCCGAACGGCTCTTTTTTTTTCCTCATTGCATCCCAGGGCCTTTGAATTAGGAGGAACCAACCGTCTTCAACTGAAAAGAACAGCCGGCGATAATAACCGTAGTTGGTGCAGCTTTTGGTCTCTACACAGAGCAAGAGTTGCCGGGCGACGTTTCATTCGGATGAAGAGGGGGCCGCGCACAGCTCGTTCGCCGTGAAACAATTGCACAACTCAAAATTTAATGTAGGGAAATTGGAATTACTGCAGTAACTTCTAATTGCCTGGTTTCGCTTACAATCCAAATTATTATGTAAGTTTCTTAGTGCAGGAAGCACAGATTCTGGACCAGGTGCAAGTTGTGCAACCAACGCAGCGTGCTTGATTGCAACGGAACGAGAATTTCAAAGCTCGAGTGCAACGGAATGAGACACTACTATGAACCATCTAGTAGCAGCCCGTCAGGCAAAGCCTCAATCTCGGTGGTTCTCTTACTACCACCGGGATAGTGGCCTTGCACAAGAGCCTTAAAAAAGGGAAAATTTTCGAAATGCCCCTGAAGTTTGCGTTTACTTGCAGCCCCTCTGATGGCCGACTTACTTTGTTGCGCCCCTCTGACGACGAATGATGTTTCCCGAAAACCGCTAGCGTCGTTTGGGCCTGAAACATGTTTCATATGCCCCTACCGGTACCGGTACCAAATTTCCAGTATGCCCCTACCGGCTGGCCGTTGAGAACCAACATATAACTTTCCCATATGCCCTTACCGGTACCGTCCATCTTTCCAGCAAGCCCCTGTCGCCGTTGTTGACCGTCGCAGTTTTTCCCCTGACCCCGGGAGAGGTGCTACCGGGGCAT